AGAATAGAGAAAAGGGGAAGTAAGAAGCTGCCAAGATCCTACTGAAATGAATTTTTAGGCGTGATATAGACAGGTTTAGGAAATTTTTAAAAATTAATGTTTCTGTAAATGCATGTTGTCTTCATGTTTTGCAGATACTTATATTTTTGTGTTGGCAATGTATCAAACATTTAGCTTTAGTGATAGACACATATGAGCATCTTTAGTTGGAAGCGGTGTTGACACTTGTCTGGGAGCTACTGGGAGTTCTGTTGTCTTGTTTCCCTGGTAGAGGCCACAGCCTTCCCAGTTGGGGTGTTTCTTTCACTCACTTGATTTGCAGTCCAACCATTTCTGTAGCCTGTGGTCTATGGATTTGTATCTCTTTAAAAAATACTTTCCTCTGTCCCTGTCGGTGCTTTCAGGGCGGTGGAGGTCAGGCCTGTGTTCAGTCAGCCACATTCACCCAGATGTTGGCCCTCCTCTTTAGTCGTTCACTTACAGAACCATACCCATAGACCTTCCTCCTGAGCATCCCAACTGGCGAATCCATTGCACCCCCAGAGGAACAACCCACTAGTAGTGTGTCCTGAGCATCAGCAAGAGGAGGAGGAGGGTCTGGGGCCCCAGGCCTCCCTAGCAGTTGTGTATGGACAGATTCAGCCCTATGCTTGCGTTGGCATTGCAGGCTGTGTTGCTGTTATAAGGAATGTTTTCATGGTATCCTCTTTCTGATTGTAAAAGTCATTAGTGTTAATGATTTGAATAGTTGAAAATTACAAAGGAGAAAATATTGCTCCCGTGCTATTAGGTAGGAAGGCTGTTAATGAAGTTCTGTGATCTTATGTACTAGTGAGCTGTGTTCATGTGTATGTGTAATGTTACAGAATGAGGTCAAACTCTGGTGTATTTTTATTTACTGTGTTGTCAGCATTTCCCTAAACCATCCCATACACTGCGAAAGTATGATTTTAATGGTTTTATTGTAGTCTTTTATTGTAGTCACAATTTAAACAACCACTAATACCCGAATAGTTGAACATTAAGATTATTTTCAGTTTTTCATGTTTTTACTTTCTTTGTGCATGAATCGTGTGCATATGTCTAGACAGAGTAGAAATGGCATTGCTGACCCAAGATAAGTACTTTTTTGTGGCTTTTGTTACCCATGTTTATCTCCAAAATCTATACCAGCCGAGTGTACATGTGTCTGTCTGTCTCCCTCCCTCTGTCACACATGCACACACACCTTGCTTACTCTATGGACAAAATAGCAAAGCAGTAGTAACCATGACAGGCGCACTTACTGAGTCGTCCTGGGTGGGACCATTCGTGCTGGGCACTGCACAGGTGCTCTCCCTCACACCCACAGCGGCCCAAGGAGCTGGTGCCCATGCCTGCTCCTCCACTGATGGGGTTGTCCCTGTCCTGCAGTGACCACCCCTCCCTGGCAGTCTGAGGCCTTAGCGGGACTTGTTCCCATTATATTTCTGTTC